TTTATTTGGCCTCTTTAGCTCCTGTAGCTCCGTATCAGGCATTTGTGCTGCTGAAGGTGTTGCATGAAAAGTAGGGCTGGTAATGATTAACATTTTCGTGTTCGATTAATGAAATTTTTTTTGAATCGATTAATTTTCGATTAATTATAACGCACATACAGATCCAACTACATTGGCCTACACACACACTCAGTATGAGGGGAATTGATCAAAACTGAAGCAAAAGTATCTGGAGCAGTTGCCTATGACAAGCAATCAGCTTCTCTCTTCAGTTTGTTCAGTTAAGGTTTAAAAATAAAAGGTGGATGCTGATTGGTTGCCATAGGTAACTGCTCCAGATTCTGTCTGCTCCAGTTTTGATAAATTCCCCTCTATGTATGTTATGACATTCAGGGCTAGTTCACAACAGTTCAAGTGCGTTCCGGGCCCGATTCGTGCCCGAACGCACTGGATCGCATCCCGGCCGCCTCCCTGCATTCTGGGGCGGGAGGCGGCGTGTTGTTGCATTAAAGTCAATGGTACGTCAACGCAGGTACGCCCCCCGGCCGCAGTGTGATCTCCGGAACACATGGCAAATCAATGTCAGGGTTCTGGTCTCTCTGGGCCCCCCAAACTGGTGGGAACACCAGGGCACGGTCGCAAATGCGACTGATGCAGCCCTGGTAGTTTCGCCAGTGCCGGTATCTGCGTTTAGTATTGGGTCATTTTCACCAGTACGAGTGCTTGTGAAAATGCCCAGTATTGGCACAGGGGCATCCCTACTTAATATAATGTATTGCTGGGACTTGCAGTCCTGCATAGTTGGTGGTATTCAGCATTGCTGTATAATCATTATACATCAATGCAGAACACCACCAGCTATACAGGACTGCAAGTCTAAGCAATACATTATAATGTAAATTAGAATACCCCCAGTTTAAAACCCCCCTCGCGCCCCCCACCAGTTTAAACCCCCCCTTCCCCATCTAGCCTTCACCCAGCCTTACCTGACTCCTGCAGCAGCTGCTTCATCTCGGTGGCCATAAGGTCCTCTCCGACCAACACAGCCTCCTCTCCCCGCACAGCTGCCCGAACATTCTACTGCTACGGGTGGCAGAGCGGTGGGGGATTTTCATGAAGGAGCTGCGGGCCCTTGAACAGGCGGAACTCCTCGGCTAACGAAGGGAAGGAGGAGTCCGGTGACGTCGCGGACATCGAAGTCACCGGACTCCTCCCCCCTTCCCTACGTTAGCCGATGGAGCCACTTGGGGAAGGGGGAGGAGTCCGGTGACGTCGCGGACATGTCCGCGACGTCACCGGATCTCCGACGGAACTCTCGGAAGCCGGCAGAGAGGTGAGTACCGATCAAAAAAATGTTGATCGATCAAAAAAATTAATGATTAATCCAGGGATTAATCGTTAATTTCCGCAGCCCTAATGAAAAGTACAGTTGGGCATCTGACATCACACACACAATAATAGCCCCCCGACACATAAAATAAGAACCCCATTGTTCCCTGCCCTGACTGCCTCTGAAGAACCCCCTTGTTCCCTGCCCTGACTGTGCTGGCTGGTTCCTATCAGAGCTCAGGCTCCTTGACAATTGAGGTTCTAGTGGGATCTCAATCTTCACCTCCAAGTCAGGCAGATGTTGGAAGGTTCCTGCATATAACTTCACACTCAACTACCGCTCACCACATCCCTAGACGTGGTAGACAGAAGCAGCTTGTTTCCTCAAAGCCATATGTTCTTGTCTTCCAGCACACAACACCTTTCCAGGTTCCTCCAAGGAGGGGAGGTCACTGCCTCCTTCCAGGCCCCAAGGCCTAAAACGGACTGACCTCTGAGGTGACATCCTCACAGGACAAAGGCCCCGGGGAGAGAAGAACAGGAAGTGTGCTAGATATGTAATACTTCTACCATCGTGCCTCACAAGGTTCTCCAACCCCACTGATTGGCCGTCAGACGTCCATAACATAGAATGATAACTCTCTAGCACTCTACCTACTTTTTGGTCGCTCTCATAGGACCTGTTGCTTTTGGTGAAGACACTGTCCTCTATTTTGTGCTTTTGGGTGTCCTGCCACCATCTACCTACTCTCCTGAGTGCGATAATACTGAGAAATAAATAACCCCACCATGACCCGAGTCTGTTCTGTTGGTGTTGCCGGAGCTGAGAAAAATGAGCCGTAACTGCTGAACATAGCAGGAGGACCCAAAATTACCAGCAACCTCTTCCGGGGGTCATCGCTTCAGAAGTATCAGATCTAGATCTTGGGCTGGAGGGAACATGCATGTGCTAAATAATACTGAACATGTATGACAAAAGACATGACATTATTCTGCGTAAACACAACAATGTAGTATGGATATATGTTGACATATTTAGAATGTATCCGGTCTATAAATGGCGGCTCTGGATGGACAGTTGGATAAATGGCTCTATATTTAGGATGTATCTGGTCTATAAATGGCGGCTCTGGATGGACAGTTGGATAAATGGCTCTATATTTAGGATGTATCTGGTCTATAAATGGCGGCTCTGGATGGACAGTTGGATAAATGGCTCTATATTTAGGATGTTTCCGGTCTATAAATGGCGGCTCTGGATGGACAGTTGGATAAATGGCTCTATATTTAGGATGTCCCTGGTCTATAAACCGGCATTTCCAGCAATGTCTCCTCTCTACTTCCTCCCAACAGACTTCCCCTCGAAAACTTCTTATGCATACATGACATCACTTTCTATGTGCCCCTTACATCACTTGCTGCTTGTGTGGAACACTGGCAATATGATCCCCCACCATGTGTTGAATATAAATATTACAGTCTATGTTATGTTTCGACATTTTGCCCGTTGCCTTGCGGTCCATTCTTCTGATGTTATATCCGGGATTACGCCCCAATTATAATCCAGACAATGAGGAAAAGGAGGAACAAACATTTTATGAGGTTTTAATATTGATAAATGTAAAACTAAAATATAAAAAACACACCGAAAATCACTTATAACATATAAAAGAAGGAATACGCAATACTTCTATCTACTATCTATTTATATGTTTTGAAACATTCCTAATTACGTAAATCGATTGTAACGTGGAATCACTTTATTACATTCACACAAATTAGAATCTGAAGAATGAAAACAAAAAGGTTCATAAAAAACATTCTTATTATTACATGGATATAAAGGATTGGGATTTACATACAGCAGTGGCATCTGTCAGTCGGTTAATAATTAGAACACGTAGCTGCCTGCGGCTGAAGGAAAGCACCTGGAAACTCCCGGGGGCCACCCAAGTGTCTGGTCTATAAATGGCGGCTCTGGATGGACAGTTGGATCGCTCTGTACAGGCCTCTGCACCCATGTGAAGGAGCCGCCGTAGTTGTTTAAATATCTTCCACTTGCTCTATGGACTAAAAACAGTTCCACAGAGGGAAGCACCGATACAATGTTTTCAAGACCGATACATTTCCTCAAATACTCGCAGCTCCCTTTTTTTTTGGGTGACATTTTCCTAAAACAATGCAGACGAATGATTTTAGGACAGTGGTGGAGTGCCAAGCTGCAACCGCTATGATCCTGGTAGTTCTGCCATTGACTCCAAGTTGTAGAAGGACTACCAATCACAGCAATACATTATACAGCAATGCAGAATACCACCAGCTATAGAGGACTACAAATCCCAGCAATACATTACACAGCAATGCAGGATACCACAAGCTATAGAGGACTACAAATCCCAGCAATGCATTATACAGCAATGCAGAATACCATTAGCTATAGAGGACTACAAATCCCAGCAATACATTATACAGCAATGCAGAATACCACCAGCTATAGAGGACTACAAATCCTAGCAATATATTATACAGCAATGCAGAATACCATCAGCTATAGAGGACTACAAATCCCAGCAATGCATTATACAGCAATGCAGAATACCATCAGCTATAGAGGACTACAAATCCCAGCAATGCATTATACAGCAATGCAGAATACCAACAGCTATAGAGGACTACAAATCCCAGCAATACATTATACACCAATGCAGAATACAACCAGCTATAGAGGACTACAAATCCCAGCAATGCATTATACAGCAATGCAGAATACCATCAGCTATAGAGGACTACAAATCCCAGCAATGCATTATACAGCAATGCAGAATACCAACAGCTATAGAGGACTACAAATCCCAGCAATACATTATACACCAATGCAGAATACCACCAGCTATAGAGGACTACAAATCCCAGCAATACATTATATAGCAATGCAGAATACCACCAGCTATAGAGGACTACAAACCCCAGGAATATATTTTACAGAATTGCCGAATACTATGTAGCTACATACTCTGTGTTGCTCACCAGTGCTGCGCGGGGTTCTGACCAGGGTTGTCCGCAGCCTCCCCAGGGCTGTGCGTGTCTCACCATGGCTGCACGATCACACCAGGGCTCACTGTGAGTCTCACCAGGGTTGCGTGCGGGTCCCACCATGGCTGGGCGGCCTCACATGGGCTGTGCAGACGGCGGATCCCACCATAGTTTGGATTGGTGCAGGTGGCAGGTCTCTGTTGCTGTGCGGGTGGATGAGGGTGGCAGGTCTCACCATGGATGTTGGGGGGTGGCGGGAAGCAGGAGGAGATGTTAGGCCAGACTGGCACTGTAAGCAGGTACTGCATGGTGCCGAGCAAGCGCGGGACTTTACGGCAGCGGAATGTATTTCAAATTTAAAGCGCCGGTATCGCCGCTTAATATGGGGTTGTACTCGTGACAATGTCCAGTATCAGCACTGGTATTGGTATCAGCGCATCCCTAGTTCTACCTCTTAAAAACCATCGTACATTTGTCTACAGAATCAGCAGGAACTTCCTCTCCAATGTTATACAGATAGAAGAACTCCAATTAGACATTTCCTCCATTAGAAAGCAGCGAGGACCTTCCGTATTGTGTCGTTCCCGGTGTCTAACAAGTGTACATTTCTCAGTGAAAGATTTCCCGCACTCCGAGTATCAAAAAGGATGTTCACCGGCGTGACTTCTCTGGTGTACGGCAAGTTGTCTTTTTTGAATGAATGATATTCCGCAAATTGTACACGGATATAGTCGTTCACCCGTGTGAATCCTCTGGTGTTTAACAAGGGTTCCTTTCTGAGCATAAGATTTCCCGCACTCCGCACATGAATAAGGACGTTCACCCGTGTGACTTCTCTGGTGTATAATAAGGTGTATTTTTTGAAAGAAAGATTTTTCGCAACTTGTACATGAATATAGACGCTTACCCGTGTGAATTCTCTGGTGTTTAACAAGGGATCCTTTCGAAGTGAAAGATTTCCCACACTCCGGGCACGAATAGGTTCCCTCACCTGTATGAAAACTCTGGTGTTCAATAAATGTTCCATTCTCAGTGAAGCATTTTCCACGCTCTGAACACAGAAAAGCATGCTCACCCGTCTGGATTCTCTGGTGTCTAAGAAGGTTTTCGTTCTCAATGAATGATTTCCCGCACACTGCATGCGAGAAAAGATTGTCACCTCTGTGATCTCCTTCATGGAGTGAGGAAGACTCAATGGGATTAGATGGATCTCTTGCAGTGTGAGATCTTAGATGGATATTTCCAGTCATAGGATGTGAATGATGAGAAGATTCACCCTGATCAGAGGGACCCATTGATGTCTCCAACCAGTAAGGTCTGTGGAATATATTTTGTGCGTTTGGATTCACTCCTGGAGAATCCTGTGTGATGACATTATCTTCTGAGTGCCAATCGGCAGATAATATAAGAAGTCTCTCCGAGATATTCCTGACATCACATCCATCTGCTGGAGAGAAATTATTAGGTACATGTTAAACATGTAAGAGTCATCTATATTGGTCTACCAGTGAACAGTTTTAATGAGCTCTGACATGATATTCGGCAGTTGCGTCACAAGGGGGGTGCGGCCCACACCCGGGTACCATTATTGGAGGGGTGATACCAAAATGACAGTCATTTTGGTGTCACCCCCTCTGAAAAGTCGGGCACTCTGTCATTGACCGAGAACCGGACAGTGTCAGGAGAGAGGAAGGGACCAGACGGCATACCTCATCCCGCCAGGTGAACGTCCCCTTCTCTCTCTCTGCCGGCGTCCATCACCAAGATGGCAGGCGTCAATAAGATGACTGGGCGTGGCGTTATCACGTGCTTGCGCAATGACATGTCATGGCGGTTGTCACCCGGGCCCTCTGCTCCAGGTGACACCCGGCCTCGGGACGCCCCCGATATCAAGTACAATTCTAACACCAAAATATGAAAATCTGACTGAGAGCACAATTCAGAGCATGGAGGCTGCTCATCGAAGAACTGCTATGGCCAGGATGAGGCCCGGTTTAACACCCAAGGGAGACAGGAAACCATCTGTGTTTACTGTGGGAAACTGGAGAGAGAATTGCCAGGTAATAATCAAAGTTACGGATGTAAGAAAAATATTGAACGGGCTGAGAAGGTCCATCGGCATCAGCATTGTGAGTTCACAGAATAAAGGAACTGTCTTCAAGAAGACTGCTGGTGGGACCCATTGAAGGGACTCAATGCCACTAGAACCTCTGCCATGATCCCTTAAACGTCACACCTTCTACTCAGAAGTGACATAGAACTGTGACCTGTTCCCTCCATAGTGTCTGTTACTTACTTGTGTTGATCGGTAGAGAAATGTCATCCTGATCACTTTTCATCATCATCCCGACCTCCTCCGTGGACGGCCGGTCACCCCCCACATACGTCTCCACTTCTTCCTCTTTAACCTCAGCTTTTATATTGTTCCGTTCTTCACCCTAAACCCCAAAAAAATTGAAAACATCCAATAAAGCTGAACTCCGGGGAGATAGAAAAGACACAAAGGAATTCATGAATCCATAGTTATACGACTTCCATCTAAAAAACAATAACTACCTAGATATGACCTGGTATCGGGAGTAACAAATAGCAGCACATCATTCAGCATGCTCCCACCTTTGGAGGAATACAAGGAGGAAGAAAATCCATCATGTCCTGTACCTGGTCCCAAGACCCGTGGAAGAAAAGGATGTATAATAATCATAGGAAAAATAGAAGAATGTTATGTCACAAAGTTCAGAATCACTTCTGTGTTCTATACACCGAGTCCCACCTACCTGATCCTGGTGAGGGATCGCCTGATGTTCCTGTGTGTAATCCCAGGAATACAGAGGACAGGCCTGAGGGATCTCCTGATGTTCCTGTGTGTAATCCCGGGAATACAGAGGACAGGCCTGAGGGATCTCCTGATGTTCCTGTGTGTAATCCCGGGAATACAGAGGACGGGGACATCTGTCTGGTGGGTTCCTCTTACTGGATCCATCTGTAGGAAACACACACACTGACTGAATACATTGTTTCTATGTGTGTATCAGATGATGGAGGATCTAGGTGGACCCTCCGTACTGCTCTCTCCTCTTACCCGGTGATGTGAGGGGCGGCTCATTCTCCATCACCACGTCCTTGTAGAGATCCCGGTGTCCTTCTAGATACTCCCACTCCTCCGTGGAGAAATAGACAGAGACATCCTGACACCTTATAGGAACCTGACACACACAATGATACAGTCACCACCCAGACACATCCCTTGTCTGTTCCTGGATCACGTCCCAGAATTCCTGGCACCGCTCACCTCTCCCGTCAGCATCTCAATGATCTTCTGGGTGACTTCTAGAATCTTGGCATTGTTCATCTCTGTTGTCAGGCAGAGAGATGAAAGCACCATGATGGTTGTCCCTTGAAGACAACGGCTGGCTCTTAATGGGTCATCCTTTTTTTTCTTCACTATTTGATAATCCTGAGTGCACAAAGTGACAATTATTGGTACAGACTTCCCAGAAGTCTCCTCACCTCTCCAGTTCGGTCTTGTTTCTAGAAGAGTAACTTTATCTGATCCTCACCTCTCCGGTCAGCAGGTAGATGATCTCCAGGGTGAGGGCTAATATCCTCTCAGTCATGTGATTTTGCTCTTTGTCCATCTTCATGGATGTGGTCATGTGATCTATACAGGACTCTCCTCTCTGTAGATGAATAGTAAACAGAGAATGATCTGGACTGGGATAAATAATGTCTGCACAGAGTTCTCACGCCTATGACTGCTTCTTATACCATACAACAGACTGAGCTCAACAAACCGATCGTAAGATATATATATATATGTAAATATAAAATAATATATTTTTACCTCCTCTACAGCCAGTTCCAGCAATGTCTCCTCTCTATTTCCTCCCACTTCACTCTCACCCGGAACTTCCTGTTTATACTCCAAAATCACTTCCTGTCGGGACCTTACATCACTTCCTGTTTTACTTACATCACTTCCTGTCTGTGGATTTCAAGTTAGAGATGGGCAAAACGGTTCATCTGCATGAGCGCTCCTCAACTGATCGCTCATCGATGACATTTTTTTTGAAACTTTCTGCACGAGCACCAGCGAAGGCATTGGCCTATACACATACAGCACAGCACAGCAATGAAGTAATAAAATGAACTAGGATCACACTAATCCAGCACGTTATTATTCTGAGTTGCCCCACTCAAGCGGCGGCCATATTGAGTGGGGCACGTGAGATTAATAACATGCTGG